AATGGGCCTGAAGTACTGGGAATCTGGGATCCACGATCAAAGATATCATCACCTCACAGGGATCTGAAGCAGCAAAAATTCTTAGAGAAAAGGCAAAGGAACTCGACGAATCGGCTTCATCGTTTGAGTAGTGACCCGTAAACTAGAACTCGAAATCCTGACTTCACCGACGTCAGAGTGTCAGTAGGTTGAAGTTTGGTTTTTTTGACGACTCAAGTAAATCGTAGGAAAAAGACATCAGCAACAAAAGATGTGACTGCAGCACCGTGCAGTCAGTTCTTTATGCTTTCGGCCAGCGGTAATAAATGCAAGTGCTTAGTTGCCGTGCCCGTTTTGGTACTTAGCCACCATTTTGTTAGTTATTTCGGTTCCACGTGTACAGCTGAAGTCAGCTCAAGATATTATTTGTAATCGTAGTTTATCGGGTCCCTTACTGAGTAGTATACGACCCTAAACGGTGAGAACTATTTCAAGAACATTCTATTGAAAATTTTTTTTGGAGTATTTTCGCTCGATGACTCGAAGTTCGGTAAATCACATGTTAAAGCTTTTTATTTCATTTCACTAGAATGTTATCTCAGGACTCATGACTCAGGACTTTGGAATATCTGTATGTGGTTTATCGACATGTGTCGAGTTCGTTCCTATGGGCCTGTGAATAAACTTCCTTTGGGATTTTGAAACTCCTCGCGTTTATGTTTTACGGGAGGCGGCCACAAAAGAGGAAATGAAATAGAAGAGAGCAATATATAACAAATAATAAAAATAAAAAATCAATTCAGTGACAATAGTTCTAATTTCTTTTTCATAAGTGATCGAAATTAAGCCTTGATCGTGTTCCAAAAGTTGGTACAAGAATGCAGAAATAAGTCTTCGTCAAGAGAATTTCCAATTCGACGCCAGGTCTCCAAGCGTGATATGTTTCAATAAGCCCGCAATCTCCGCTGAAACATTCACGGCTACGGACTAGGTTGGGCAACCCTAGCCTGTTTCACTGGAGCAGTTTTCAATCAAGTGTCTAAAGTAAAACAGTATTGCATCGCCTTTGCTTCACTGCGTGGTGTGACTGGTTCACAAATCTTTTAACCAATCAAATGCAAAACCCAAAACAAATCGCGCCTTCCCGTCTCCCCGTGCATGGAACCAATGGAGACGTACTTTCTTTGAAGTTTATTGGCCGGTCAGATTACTTTCATTGCCATGGATTCTACCACACTCAATCGGAAAGCGCTGTTGTTCTTAAAAATCTAATTTTTACGGGTCGAACATTACCATGCAAGTCTTAAAATGAGCCTCCAGCCTGCAAATAAATGGAGGCAAAGCTACGATACCCCAAAACACTCTTAGCTTCATTATAAGCGTTTTTATTTGCGCAAGACAGCAATATTTCTTTAAATACCACATTAGGTTTTAAATACCCAATCATAAATAGTCAAATTATCTACAGCTGAATGGCGAGCTCTCGCCGAAGTAAATTAATCTTAGTCAAATAATTTTAGTTGTATCAACACAGAACTCTAAAGCTACATGCAAGAGATCACACCTATCATTAGATTTAATTCTGAGTCTGTAGCTAACTGGTCGCCTAACAATAACGTTACAGGCACCAAGCGTGTTTGAATGTTTCGGTATATAATGCCCACGTGACAAAATTCTCCAATAAGGATTAGATAGTTCTAGATCTTAAAAATCTCCCAAAATGAAAAGGTAGGGGTCATCGAAAAGTAACTTAAGAGGGAATAACTCTAGAATAAAAGTTGGCATGAATGATTCAGTTGCTCAGCTTGATACGCTTCCTTCATCGTATATCATTAACTTGGAACAAAGGTAAGTCTTAAATTAAAACACAGCACTGGGCGAATTTCAGTTCAGCAACGAATGAATGTTTGACAGGAAAATACGTGGATCGCCTTCACGCTTTTCCTACCTATTCAAAAATCCTACAAAAAAGTTCTGTGTTCTGATATTTAAATCAGTTTTACGACATTTTTATTGAACGAAGGACAGCTCATGTTATAAGTATGAATGAAATGGACAAACGACTGTGTTGGTAGAAAGTGTTCTATCCGTGTAAATTGATCGATTCAAGCATTAATCGTATGAATATCCTGTTGAAGGAATGCCTAACATTTGAAGCTATTTGTATTGAACCAAGAACCACTTAGAAATGTTACTCACAAAATAATTTTTCTGTGGAGCCGAAAAGGCAAACACCTAGCTCACACAAAATGCCTCACAATATCTTAAAGCAAATGTCGCATGATAACTTTCTTAAAACGGATAATAAAATAACAAAGAAATATACTGGAAAGGAAGCTTTCAAAATGGAAAAAGGAAGCAAATCCCCAGCACCTTTAAGGATGATTATTCGTATGACGTCAACCTATCTCAATTCTCATGCCCTGCGAAAAATCACAGAACAAAGGAATCTTTACGTCCTTTTTAAAGGTTAGCCCTTAATTTCCTTCGTTGTCGCCAACTGACCTCCAAAAAAGTGGTGACGAGTCCAATTTGCGCTCAACGAGCTCTTTCCATTTTCTGCAATATCATCCCCGACATGTTTCCGGAGCTACCTGTTTTCTAGCGTTTAGCACAGGTCGCATAAAATCCTGGTCAAAAGTGCTTGGTCAATATGATAACGACGCTATTGATTTCGTGGCTTTAAGGCAACTCAAGAAAAGTATCACCGACATAAGGCTCGAGGGATTCACTTCCTTTTCGTGTTCTTCCGAGAATAAATTACCACAAGTTCGAAATACTATTATTATCAACGGGCCCGCCCATTAAAAAAAATAAGCAAAGCAAACAAGGCAGCTGTTATCGCAACTTAGCACACATTGTTTTCAGTGTGCTGACTTTCCATTAAGCTTTGCGCTCTTGAACTTATTACGCAGAAGATTGACCTACAAAACCGCGGGTCAAGGTGAAAAAGAAGGCGGAAAGCGTAGCCTCTTTACATATCTGTAAAAGGACAAAATACCTAAAGCCTACTGTAAATCTTTCATAGAAAACGTGGGTTCTGTTTTCTTGGTCGCTTGGCGCTGCGATCAGGTATGTCGTCCCAGTAAGACAGATTAGCTGTCTCCGTGGCGGAAGACTGTAAAAGTAAAACAAAGTGCGAAAAAGGAAATCAACACCTGCCCTTGCAAGTGCTACGATTATATATGGAATGCGCATTCTGGACTAGAGTCATTATCTCAGTAACTGCGCACCGACCCCTTCCCTATCCCAACATTAACCTGAGGCTCTTCTCAGTTGACTTTTGTTGGGTTAGGGGAGGGGTAGGTCTGCAGTTACTCAGAGACTGACAATGATCCTGAATTAGTGTTCATTCCCAACCTCCTTGACTGAAATACACACCTCTCGACCACAAATTATTCTAGCTTCGTTATTCTATTAAAACCTTGGCCCTCGCGCTGAAATTATGGAACTCGAGAAAACTCAACAAAAATCACCCTCCAGTGAGCAAGAGTTCGGGAAATAGTTGAAACCATTGCACTAACAAGCAGCGAACACAAAAGACAGCTTTCCACAAAAACACTTACCCCGAACCTCTTCATGAACTGACTATTATACAGAAATCCCTTTTGCAAAAAGTAAGGCTACTTTGATGGTAAGTTCGTTTAAACTTACCAATCGCTGTTGCACTTTGAGAGGAAGTTCTTCAGTTGCTTTGTAGACGTCCTCCCGGCGGACGCTTAGCCACGAATCATCTTCGAATTCAACCTGATCCAAAACAAAATGGTTTAAAAAATTCTTGTGTTCAATGAATTGTTACATAGAGTAACGCCTGACCTTAGACTTCATTCTCAGTTTTCATGTTATGTAACTACTGGGGTATTTCTAAGCTTCAGTTAATAAGTGAACTTATGGAGAACATACAGCTGTTTCAAGGAAGGTTTTAGGGAAAAAAAAGTAAAAGTGAACGCGACAACCCCGAAAAGTATTGTGGGTAGTCTTCACGTCATGGTTCCTTGAGCTTAGGATTTCAAGGAAATCTGAGAAAATGTCAGTGTGAAAACGAGGTGTCGCAGGTTTGAAGAATTTATTTATTCATTTGACTTATTAACCGACAACCTTTCTCGAAACAGCAGTGTGCGAGAGTTATAGCTAATTCCGTTGGAAATCGTAATCCACTTCGAGCAAATAAGGACAGCTTGGTAGAGTTAATTCCAGAAGGGAAACCACTGTTCTGTCAAAAATTTGCCTTTCAAGTAAAAGATCCCCCTTTCTTTACCCTTTCTTTAGTCCTTACTCAGAAAACATGACATGCTCCCGCGTTTTGCGGACCTCTCGTAGCGTCATAATAACTTAAATACCTGGTAGGTAACGCTTATTCTTCGGCCAGTGACTCTGGCTTTATACAGTCCACCGTCCTCGCTCCATCTGACTTGAATAACGCTTCCTACAGGAATATCCTCTTGTGTGTTGTCATGATCCTACAAAAAAACAAAAAATTATTAGAAAAAATCCGTAGTCTTTCCTCTCTAGAGCTCGACCTTGGTTTGCGAAAAATGGGAAATTTATCTTTAAGATCAAAATTCATCACTAGAAATTCTCGGTTGGCCAGAACATTTTCCTGGGTCGCGAGGTCGCTACCGCAGTTCGAGTCCTGTTGAATTCGTTTTTTTTTTATTTTTCAACACTGAACCAGTCAAGACTCACCTTTTTTCATTAGCCTACAAGTAGTGTTATAGTATATGTTATCTTAACTATAATTATTTTCGCCTCTTTATGAGTAGTTTTAAGAGCGTCTTTCTTCGCTATAACTATTTAATGTTTTCTTTTTTTAACGATTTTCAACGATTTTAAGAGGCTGATTGCGCATTAAATAATATTTACAAATATTTTTCGCCTTAAGAGTAACTAAGTTATCATTATTATTTTTATCAACATCATTATTTTTCATCATTTTCATTATTTTCATCATTATCATTATGTTATTATTTAACAGAGGCTTTTTACCACAATGTCAGTTGTTGGTAAGTTATCGCAGTAAGTGCCATCATCAAATGACACCACGTAATACTCCTCAGTTGTTGTGTCCTGAACCACCCCTCGGTAATATCTGACACAAACAAAAACACAAGTTTAGTACTCATCAAGGTGCACATTGGCTGAGATGGCAAGGTTGAAAGTTACAGGTTTAATCCATGGCACTTTACTTTCCGAGCCTTCTGTTTCCATAACATTAACCAGCTTCCCCGTACTAGAAGCTGGTCAATCGCAAGTATCCGAAGTCATCTTACTGCTTCATTGCATGGAGGCACCGTAAAAAATTGAGCTCGACCAAAGCTCGAGCACGTAGCTCTCGATCCAAACATTACTGTTTGGACAGTTTTTATGACACACAGAACGATGGCGCTTCTTTCAAAGCGTCATTCCTTAGGAAAGCACAATGCAAGAGAAAAAACAACATTGAACTGGTCTAATTACCTTCCATTTTTATGCTTGGCAACAACAGATTCACCAAAATGAATAACAGAGAAGTCTCTCTGCTTTCCCTGAGAAAAATTAGGGAAAAGATGAAGTTATATGAGCTATCAGTAACCTTTCCTCTAAAAGAAGAGAGACATAATCCTTAGGAACTTTCCGTTACCCTATAAATCGTCTCAACAACCTCTCTTATGTCTTCGCGTGAATTCCTCATTATTCCTGGCACCATTTTGAGCTTCCGGAAAAAGTCTTACGTTCTTTTTTGTTAACCTTGAGGTAATTCAATAACTTATCCCTCCGCGTTATGAGCAGTGGACTAAAGACCCAAGTTAAAAGCAAATAAGGAACAGCAGGAGAATTTGAAGTTGAGTGTCGAAAATAATCCGAAACTGCATTAGCCATCTTTCAGTTGAGCCTGAGATTAGTCCAGAAATATCGCCTCAACTTTCTAACCAATCAAATCAAACCTACAACCAAACGATAATTGGTCGCACGCGTTATCCGGCGCTTTGGGCAGTTTGCCTGTATCCTGGTTTCCTTTGTTTTGATCGGCTGTTACGATCACTTTGGTCTTGGTTTTCAGGGACTCTATTGAAATACTCTCATAGTGGCATCGAGTCATTTTGACTACCGTTTTCATGCCAAATAAGAATCTTACTTTAAATCTCGTCCTCTGATGTCTCTCGCAATAGGTTTCCGTAGGTTGCGGCCAATCACTGGGTTCAAGTACGAACCCGGCCAAAACAAAGCACGTCACGTGAAAGGATACCGCACACTTTCCCGCACAACATTGCACGCATGCACCATTATCCTTTCCGCTGGCCGTTGAACTTGATCGACAATAAAAACATTTCTAAAGGAACGCAAAAGAAAAAGCATGACATACTAAACCAGATACTGGGGGATTCGCTGGTGAGCAACAAAACAAAGCAAGGAGGATTTCCTGACGCAGGTAATAACACTAGCAGAGTGAAACATTCATCCATACCATGACATCAGCTCGCCACAAGAAAAGAAGCAAGAAATTTAAGGATAAATTTTAATATTACAATGCAACAAAAGAAAAGAACATAGTACTCTACTCACAAGTTTTCTTCTTGCTGAAGTAATTTTATCAATGTTAACTCCTTCCCTTAGATTCACATCTACAAAGAACACTTCAGGTACAGCTAGTGCACATCCTATGTGAACCCATCTGTAGGAAAAGGCACGATATAGTAGTTGCAGGTGATGTAAAGAAAGTTTGGCAGTCAGGACGGAAATGCCGAGGAGAAGTCGATGAAAAAATAAACTTTATTTTTAGTTCGAAATTCACAAATGACTGGATTTTGTTAGAGTCTCTTAAAGCGCCACTTAACGTATTTGAGAAGCAATGAGCCCCAAATGGAAACTTCAATAATTCGCCGTCGGGGTTTTACGTTCTCAGAACGCAGAATTTTTTTTTTGTGATTTCACGTTTTTGTTTCAAACGTACCTGCTGAACTATTGTTCTGCTCCCTAGATCTTTTGTTTCTAATCTATTCTAAGGATGTTTTAATACTCAAACAGAGTCACTAAGGACAACAATGATTCGGCATTGCAATAATAAGGGATTTGTTGACCATAAACAGGAAAAGTTAGTATTCTCGGGAATGTTGACAGTACCTGCCGTCTGTTGTCTTCTTTAAAGCACCACCACCCAGTCTACATAAAGAACAAAACTGTTGAAAGAAAAAAAAACAACAACAAGAAGTTTATAAGAAATACGAAATAGCTTTCCGATATTGATGTCATCGACAGCGAATTGGTTTTTAATTCCAGTTTTTTTGTAACATTTTAAGGGCAATATTTCACTTCAAAGGGTAGCAATGTGCACATTAAAAGGTATCAAAGTCTTCAGTTAACTAGCCAAAGCTCTAAACTTCAACTTCTTGGTTGTAAGATCACCACTACGGCATTGAGGCTCATTTGGTCGCAACAAAAAAAATGCGTTCATTTTGTCCGGCAGGAAATTGCTTGCAAAATCAATACCGAGAGTAAATTTTGTATCTTAGGGAGTACGTTCAGTTCCTTATAAGCCCTCAATAAGTTACAGTTTCACCACTTACCCAGTTTCTTATCTGCTATCGTTCACATTGATATTTCATAACATTCCGGTAAAAAGTCGATGGCCACTTTAGTTTATCCTGTGTCTATAATTTCTACTTCTCCCCCGTGTCCACAGCTGGGGAATTGTTACTACGAAATTTTGCCACGAGGTTTTGCAACGAATTTTTACTGTTTCAACAGTTTCGAATGCTCTAACAGTTTTTAACGTTATTGACAGTGACAACAGCTTACGTTCCCCTCACTAGCGGCTTCAGTGGTCATGCTCGTCAATGTCAGTGACATCAGTTGTAGTTGTGATAACTACTCACAACAACTTTTCACTGCATTTCAATCACGGCCATCAGGGCCTATTTTTAACTTTTCGATTTTTCGGAGAAAGCAAAGCGCGATAGAACTTTTTGATATAACTTTTGAAAAAGGATCATTAAAAGGCTCCTCTATGAAAAATGAAATGAAATACGAAAATTTGCAACTTTTGGCGGATCCTCGATATTTATGGTCAGTGGCTATTAATAGCTGTAAAGTGTAGGTCCTATTATTCACAAAACCTGTCTTACAATTGAACTAGACGCGCTCTTCTACAAGATGTAGTTAACCTTTGTACGTTCTTCGTCTCCTGACAAAGAAATCGGGAAATGCCTTCATCTTTGACTGAAGGGAGGCATGAATACAGGCCAGATCTACTCACACTATTTTCAATGGCTGATTGATCGTCTTGAAGACATCTTTGACATTTCCACTGGCCATCACTTGGGACGTGACTTATACCATAACAACCTAAAACAACATAGAGTAGAAATTCCTCAAACTGACTTCAAACACTTGGTGGTTTGCGTGCGTACGTTATGGTACCCTTTGGTCCTGACGGCTCTGTCGTGGAGAAAAGTATCCTACTACACACAACAAAACCCAGCTAATCTTCAAAGAAATCAAAGTATGGAAACTTTAAGCGCACGGTCTCTCCCCTTTAATTCTTGCTGGAATTTCTGACGGATAAATAGCTATTCGACGGGTGAGCGTTGGCAAAACGTACTGCGCTATCCACCGGTGTCCAAAGCAAAGAATCTCAACCATTGGGCCCCGCGGTGCCCATGACGAGTAAAGTAAGTAAAACTAAATAAAACTACTGAAATTTCTCTCGGAAAATTACTTTCAGTTCCTTACTGTCTATGACAAAGACTCAGATTTCTACTCACTTGCATGAACTAGTAATTTACATGATGTGCATCGTAGCAGAGGACTTGCTGTATCTGTAGTGAACTTTTTGTCCAGCCAAGAGCTCATACTCTCAGGACTGGAGTCGTCCGACATGAAACAAATCTCTGGTATTCTAGGAACCGACAGTTTGTCCGTCAAATCAGTTAGGTCTTCTGTTAAATCGGAAAGTGGTTTGTGAAGGTTTTCTCGCAGATTCACTAAATGATTATCCTGAGAAATAAGACATAATTGGCAGGTAAGTTTTAGTACCGTTAGCGATTTGCGACAAAACAGGAAAAATAGTGTCCCTTGAGACTTGTGAAAGCGGAAGTGTTCGGAAAACTAAAATGAATTTGAAACAAGGAGCAGGAAGGTATAAGATCTGCAAAAACAAAAAAAGGAAGGGGAATGTATGGAAGGTAGGATGCACGGAGAAACATACGAGTGGTGCCTACCGCAATAAAATGCGATCACTACGAAACGCAAGAAATTTTACATTCACATGCTTTGTGCTTGATACATATAAAGTAATCCAAGGGCGGGAAACATAGCACCTTAACATCCACTGAGAACTCACAACCGAATAATTTTCGTTAAAAAACTAGCAAACAATCCCCAGAATGCGAGAATATACTGGCCGTGACAATAACTGGAATCTTGAAACCATTGCCTATGCGTGTATGAAATGCCGCATTCGGGGATGAGAGCTGTGGGTGCATTGACATGCTTGGGAAAGCAGCAGATATAAGGAGGTATTGTTTCGTTTCTCTTGCAATTGGACTTACAATGTCACCATATTTACCCCGATAAGTCAGACTATATTGCACCACTGTTTACAAAAATAAACAACGCACTGCAGTCCAAACAATCGCTTCGTGTTTGCCACAGCCTTGCGTCTCTAATCATTACCCCCGAGAGCTTTCTTACCTCTGATCTCGAGAAGAAGCTACAAATAGAACAGTGAGATTCCTGTTGTGATGATACGATGTTAAAAGCCTGTTCCATTTCAAAATTCGGCAGCTGATGATGCCATAGCCCATCAAGAATACTAGCCAGTATTTTATTCGTTGTGCTAGCTTTTCCTTCGTGATCTTTCCGACCTTCAAGATAAAAAGAAAAAAACAAACAAACAAACAAGATGTAAACGTAAAAGGGTCTCAACTTAAAAGAAAGAAGCTTTTGGCTGAAGGTTTGAAAGAATTATATTCTGTTTCCTCGCAGCTAGTTCATTAATTTGGCTTACTTTGAGGTTTTCTTAACTTTTTCAATAATTTAACCACCTTAGGCCCGATAATCATAAGCATTTTGTCACTAACACTAGACACTACCCTTCAAACTTTAACCCTTAAGATTGACTAGTATCTACGTTCTCCTTACACAATCACCCCCGAATCAAACAACTTCACGACGATATAGGAAATGATTAACAACTAAAGAAGCTCTTGATTGTTTAACAAATTCTCCTTGCGAGCACCTTGGGAATTGTATAGAGAACAGTATGGAGAATATGCATACTGATGATAGGATGTGAAGGGTTAAATAAGTATATGGCGATGATGTTGTCAAGCAGCTGCTCCATCGACACCTACTGAAGTTAAGTTGCCTTACGGCCAGGATGGTCACTAACTGATAAAAGGATTATAGATAGCTACGAACAAGTCAGGTGTAGGTGCACCTTTTCTTTTCTTGGATTCTTCCATTTTATTTCTTCTCCCAGCACTGCTTGGGACTGTGAAGGATTTTGTAACCACTGGCTGTCTTTTAGAAGCAGACTTTCGGGCCTCAAGTGACCTTCTGGAGAATAATCATTCATATATCTTTTCTTTCAATCAAAAGAGGTAATATGTGTATTCAAAATACTGCAGTGAAGATTGTTATTAATCTGTTTACTACTAGGCCAAGCAGGCCCTCGAGCTACTTCCATAACGTGTTCGATCCGAACATTGACCTTGGCTGGGATTTTCTCATCGAAAGGCGGGAACGCGCGTGACATCAAGGCGCGGTTGGTTTTTGTTTTACATATGATGGGTCGATAGAATAGCGCAAGTTTGCTGGAACAATCACACAGCAAAGTAAGGTAAAACCACACAAATCCAGGTTTACTTTATACACTCAATAGAAAACTGCTGTAAACCAAACTCCTTCTTCGTTTGTTACCGTTAATTTGTCGCTACTGTTATTTCAGACAATAATCTTTCACTAGATACCTTGATAGTGTTTCTTTTAACTTGGCGAGGGGCATGTCGTCATCAACATCTACAAGGATTCCCTCTGACTTGGCTTTCTCTTTCCCCTTCGTTTTATCTTTTTGGTTTTTCTTTTTCCCCTTCTCTTCCTCGAGTTGTTCCTCTTCCTCGTCGTCCTCACTGCCACTGCTGTCTTTATGTTTGGACTTAAGATAATCTTCCCACTTGTCAGGCTGGAAAATCAACGACAGCCTTTAATTTTTGCACAATTGCATTTAAATAATAATTACAATTATCATCAATAATGGGATTTAGAAGAGAAATTTAAGACCGGACGTTCAATGATGTGGCTCCCCTTGTCCACTGTTTTTACGTCGAATTGGAATTTGGAAGGATGGTTTTAGTGGAGGGAGGAAAACCGGAGGACCCGGAGAAAAAAAAGTCGGCTACCTAATGGATTGCGCCTCTCGTCAAACTTGGGCTTAATTTTTCAAGCCCTCCATTTTTAATAAATCCGTTCTAGTCTTCTTCATCCAAAGCCACCTTTGTCCCTTCTTGCTTTTGTACTGTACAAATTTTTTTCTCAATTTTTATCTCTAAGTCTAATATTTTGTTTCCTCCTTTTAGTGGAAGGAGGTTTCGCAACGGTTACTCTAAATACTAAAAAGCGTTTTCTCAAAGCTCAAATGATGATAATTTATTTTTAGTTCAAGGAAAGCTACTTTGTTAAGCTAACTTACTTGAAACGTCTTAACGAAGACATCCATACAAATCTTCACGGTGTCCTTTTTACACATGCACTGAAAAATCAAATATAAGATTATCAGTGCCAGGATAGCCAATTTACTGCTCGATGCAAGGTTAAAATCCCAGGGAAGGCAGCCTCAACGAAAAAAACAAAACAAAAAAAAATAAAACACCAAAGATGATCATCTGAACTTTTCAGGAAATAATTACGGTATCTCACCACCTCTGTGCTCAATTTGAGATTTCATAACCTTTTTTTCATGTCCTTTTATTGATTTAGTTATTTATACCTCGGGCTTCCTGTGGAATTCCGGAGTTATAAATTGGGCTTCGTTATTTTCCGTCTTGAGACCCAGAACGCAGTCTGATAAGTATGCGCTAAGCATGCTTTTTCAGTTGCAAAGTAAGAAAACAACTATATGGCATTCAATCATGAAGTATATACCATGGTAAGCTTCAAAGCACATGGTTATCATGGCGGCCAGAAAGATGCCTCGTGATTCAAGGGTAAATATGTCTTCTCATACGCTCAAACTTCATACAAAGGCACACACTGTTCGTGGTAGATCTACACTACAGGGTTCGTACAGTTTTTCAGGCCAAAGATTCAAGGACTTTTCAAGGGCTTTCCAGGACCCTACTTAGAAATTTCAAGGACTTTTTGTAATGACAATTTTACCTCAAAACCAAGAAAAATGTTTCTGTTAATATCTATGTTTTGGGTTTACCGATGGTGCAAAACAAAAGCAGATATTTTTCGATGTTGTTCAATAAAAAATCAAGGACTTTCAAGGACCCAAAACGAAATTCAAGTACTTTCAAGGCCTTGAAATCGGCCTCCTGAAATTCAAGGGTTTTCAAGAGTCTTA